GGTACCGTTTTTGGAACTTTTTGCCCCTATCTTCGGAACCGCTAGACCTGCCTTTGCCAAAAACTAATCAGCACGTCTCGTTATCAATACGAATCGAATGTTTTTAAAAAATTTTAAATCGGAAATCGGTATCAAGATACGTGATTCCGAAATCGACGAAAATTTGTATCCGCACACATACACACACGCACACATACACACTCACACATACATCCATTTCTTTAAGGTATTTTTTTATAATTTGCAGAAAACAAAAAAAAATCTGAAATACTGCTGATCCTTTTGGTAAAGATCGGCCGGACCCTTTTTTCGATTTTTTAACTTCCCGTCTTGAAATAATATGAACTGTCGGATAATCTGTCGAAAACATAATCAAGCCTTTATTTGTGGGCATTGAATATATTATATTTTCATATTGTCTAGGGCTATGATATTTTTCTCTGCTTACTAGATATTTATTTTAAGGACACATATAAGATTTAAAAAATCATTTTCAAATTTTCTAGAAACTTCAATAATCTAGTTCAATGTGGAACAAATATTGTAATTGTTCTATGCTTTGCTTTCGGTATTTCATGGAATTGTATAATGTTATTGAAAATTCAATGTAAATGTTAAAATATTGACATTTTATGCAAGCATTCTTTGATCTGAATTCTTGAATAATTGTTTGAAAGATAACAAAAAAACAAGTGATATTAAAGCAATAAAAAGTCCCATTTTATAATGTTAGCAAATTTATATTATATATTTTAAGAGTTTAATGTATATGGACTTTATAATCAATTTTTAAAAGTAAATTTCTATAATTTGATTATCCGTTAGTATAAAATAAAATTATAATATTTAGTAAAGTGAAATTTTTTTCAAATGTTATTAATCCCTGAACAGTGAAAACGATACTTTAAATTTCATGTTGTGCCAAAACAGTTAATATGTGCGAATTATACCTTAACAAGGAAACACTAACTTGCTGTATTAAAAATCAATTAAAATGTTAAAAAAATCATATTTATTTTCTTTACTTTTATTGTGGAATCTTACTGTTTTAATCAGCTCAGAAAGGTATGAATAGTTTCAATCATTATGTAAGTCATAATAAATAAAAATTTATTATCTTCATTATTGATGTTATGTTATTAATGATAACGTTTCACTAAATATCGTATTGGTTATTGATATTTTAAACCTGTTGTTTTCATTCATTTTTTAATCAATTTATATAAACCATTTTATATTTTATTTTGAGTATATTTAAAGACAAAATTTTTAAACAAAATCGCTTGAAATTTTAAATAAACTTCTTCTTGTATCTCCATAATGATGCCATTTAATATATAAACTATGTATATGATTTTAAATCTCAAAATATCAAATAAACTTCTTAACGTTTATTTTTATCAAAGCATGTCTATATCAAAAAAGTGTTTCCATAATAATTTCATTCCATATATAAATTATCTTTTTTGAAACAGGTCAAAAATTCAAATAAACTTCTTCCTCTTTATTTTCATTTTGTTATGTACCATTACATGTTTTTACCAAAATTTGGGTAAAAACATTTAAATGTGTCTCTACGATGATGCCATTTAAAATATAGATTCTATATACATTTTTCAAATTATATATTCATATGAAAAAATTTATCGAGATTATTGAATAATATTCTAATAATCGAATTCAGTATAGAGAGTTAAACATTTATCTCAACAATCTCTGTTTATATTTCTTTGATATAGAATAATGTAATTTTATATACATGGAATTTATAAACATATCCATATGCATTATTTTACATCATTATTAAACAATAGTTGTTAACATATATATACTATAATATTTACAAACAAATTATATGGGGATTGAATTCAATGAAAACAGAGTTGAACATTGATCTTTATTATCATTGTTTTTATTTCGGACATATTACAGTGCATTAGTACTCATAAAATTGATTAAAAAAATATTTAAATTAATAAAATATTAAGCTTAAAACGTATCCTAAAAATATAATTATTATCTTTTTTAGTTAGACAAAAAGTGTTTAGAATTTTAGAGGGTCGACAGGGTCCTAGGTTAAATTATTCTTGATATAAATATAATAGAATATTTTATAAATTTGACTATCTGTAAATTTTTTAATTTTATTATCTTATTTTTTGAATATCGTACAAGGTGATTAGAACCAAATACAATTTATTATATTCAAAAAAGAAAAAAATAATAATAAAATAATTATTATCATGGGCTTTAAATAAATAAATAAATTTAAAGCATGATAATAACAAATAATAAGAGTCTGGGTCTTATAACAACTTAGTCATGTAAAATATATGAAGCTCTTTGTAAAGTCATACATATTTTTTCCAATTGGATTAGATTAATTTATTGTATCATTATTATATCCAACAATACGTTAAAGGGGATTTAGATATCTTTTTTATATTATCTGTTATGGATTAAAAACCAGCGAAGATAAAAAAGAATTGATACAATTGCGAAATATTGCAATATGCCCATCTTATAAAATATTTATTATATTCTCACAAAACATAAAATTTACCTTTCATATCGTTAAATAAATATTCAATTGACCTATGATAAAGCTACAAGTTGAAGCATTGTTAATTAAAGATTATTATCTATTATATAAAATACACTTTTGTAAGAATCTTACATAGCAGAAAAAATCACTTTTACTGTACTGATAACATTCAGATAAGAGTAGTATTGATCGAACAGTAGTGAATTCAATATGTAAGTAATTTCTCTAAAATCATAATTGATTGAAACTGAATTAGTTTGGGGAAAGGTTAATAAACTGTGTGTTTCATTTTATCGAAATTTAGAGCTTTATCACTTCTTTAAATTAATTAAGACTTACGTTAATGATGCATAAATTTATTACATAAATATATTTTATTATATATTCATTTGTATATATATATACACCTATATATTTATATGTACATTTTTTTTATTTAGTAGTCATAAATTTCTCTTATTGGTTAATCAATTGGAATATTCATGAGCATTGATGAGCATATAGGTATAGATTTCAAGAAATTATTCAATCTCTTTTTTAAACTTCCAGGGTTTGCAAACATTTTCAATATTTATTGTATAAGATAAATTCTCTATAGATTTTCTGGATTTATGTATTTATTCATGCAATTGAATTTAATAATTATTTTTGTATTTAGGATTTCACAAACGAATTCAAGCACAGCACCCATGAAGGGCACTGGCCATATTCTGAAACGGCTGAGATGTTTAATGCAAGATGTAAAATACGTTAAAGAACCAATTCATGCTTATATTGTGCCAACGAATGATGCTCATCAGGTACTTAATTTAATAATAAATAGTATTAAGAACTTGTAATGCTATTAAAAAGCAAAAAAGGTCATAAAAATTTGTTATAAAAGTAGAAATTATTTACAATAACTGGAAATATTGTTTTTGACTAAATTAGTATAATGAGTGTAAATATATGCAAATGATTGTAAATCTACTATAATGAGTATAAGTTTAATAAAATGATAATGAACTATAATGAGTGTAAAACTGCTATTAGAATGTGAATCCACTACCATTATAGTAAATCCCATGTTCGAATGAAAATTCTCGACAATGAGTGTAAATCTAATTTAATGAGTATAAATTTAATTGAATGATATTGATATAATAATAAATGAGTAATCTGCTATAATAATGAGTAATAATAAAATCTGCTATAATGAATGTGAATCCACTACCATGTATGTAAATACCATATATGAATGAAAATTCTCTACAATGAGTGTAAATCTACTTCAATGAGTATAAATTTATTAGAATGATAGTAAACTATAATGAGTATACATCTGCTACAATGAATGTAAATCTACTACTATGGTAGTAAATCTCATGCATGAATGAAAATTCTCTGCAATGAGTGTAAATCTACTTCAATGAGTATACATTTAAGAGAATGATTGTAAGCTCTATTGTAGTGTAAATCTGTGTAAATAAATTTAATGAATGATTGTAAACTATAATGAGTGTAAATCTGCTATAATGAATGTGAATCCACTACCATGATAGTAAATTCTATGTATGAATGAATTTTCTCTGCAATGAGTGTTAATCTACTACTATGATAGTAAGTCCTATTTATGAATGAACAATCTCTACAATGAGGGTAAATCTACTTCAATGAGTACAAATTTTAGGAGAATGATTGTAAACTATATTAGTGTAAATCTACTACAATGAATGTTAATAACCATCATAGTAAGTCCCATGAATGAATGAAAATTCTCTACAATGAGTGTAATCTACCTCAATGAGTATAAATTTAATAGAATGATAGTAAACTATAATGAGTGTAAATCTCCTATAATGAATGTGGAATCCACTACCATGATAGTAAATCCCATGTATGAATAAAAATTCTCTACAATTAGTATAAATCTACTAAAATGAGTATAAATTTAAGAGAATGAGTGTAAATCTACTATAATGAGTGCGAATCCACTACCATGATAGTAAATCCCATAGATGAATGAAAATCATCTACAATGAGTGTAAATCTACTTCAATGAGTATAAATTTAATAGAATGATTGTAAACTATGATGAGTGTGAATCTGCTATATAAAAAATGTAAATCTACCACCATGATAGAAAATCCTATGAATGAATGAAAACTCAGAATGATAGTAAACTATAATGAGTGATAATGTGCTAGAATGAATGTGAATCCACTATCATGATAGTAAGCCCCGTGAATGAATGAAAATTCTGTAAACTGAGTATAAATCTACTACAATGAGTATCAATTTAAGAGAATGATAGTAAACTACAATGAGTGTAAATCTGCTATAGTTAATGGGAATGATAGTAAATCCCATGTATGAATGAAAATTCTCTACAATGAGTGTAAATCTACCAATTTAATAGAATGATTGTAAACTGTAATGAGTGTAAATCTACTACAATAAGTGTAATTCTACTACCATAGTTGGAAATGAGTATAAAATTCTACAATGAGTATGAAGCTACTATGATTGTAAATCCACATGTATGAATGTAATTTCACTATAATTTGTGTGAATTCTCTACAATGAGTGTAGATCCACGTGCATTAGTAAAATTTCTCCACAATTATTGCAAATCTGCTGCAACTTTTTTACATTTAATTTGAATTCTTTGTCAGATTTTTAGAAAATGTGACTGATGAATAAATATTTCTTTTAATTTTAAGCATTTTATTAATTACAAGAAATCATCACCTGAGAGGTTTCCAAAAATAGTAAGGGCTTCCTAAGGGAATTAAATTTTCTTCCAGAGTGAATATATTTGTGATCATGACAAACGACGAGATTACATAACGGGTTTCACAGATCTGCAGGTACTGCGATTGTAACAAATAATGATGCATTACTCTGGACTGATGGCAGATACTATCTGCAAGCAACACAAGAAATGGATGAAAATTGGTTGCTTATGAAAGAAGGTATTATTTCTTCTTATCCTTGAAATAAATTTAATTTTGCATATATATTTCACACTAACATAAATACTTTGACCCTCATTTTCTAGAATATATAATAATATTACCCTTAATAATAAATTAATGAATTGAAAAAATATATAATTAATAAAATAAATCTTTAGAATATATATTTTAAAACTTCAAATATTCTTGTTCTAAGATTTTCTAATAATTTTTAATTTTGTAATTAATAATGTTCTGATAACTTAATTTTTATCTTCAAACTATGCAAATAAATAATAAGATTTTATAAAATAGACCTATAAACAAAATCATCATATTTATTTATATAGAGTTATATTTTCTGTTACATTATTTTTCACTCTTACTAGGATTGCCATCAACTCCGACCCAAGCAGCATGGCTTTCCAAAAACCTTCCCCCAGGAGCTAGAGTAGGATTTGATCCTTCTTTGATGGAATATTCCACTTGGAAGACTCTACATAATACACTAGAAGCTTCATCAAAGTATCTTATTGCTGTAGAAACTAATTTGGTTGATGTAATTTGGGAAAATCGACCACCTATTTCAAATGCATCTATTAAACCATTAGAAATAAAATATTCAGGTAAGATTTAGAATTCAGTTTCTTTTTTATACTTATTTTTCTAAATGGAATATTTTGTATTCAAAAGGTAAATCAAGTAGCGACAAACTTAAAGAAATTTATGAACAAATGAAAGAAAAGGATGCAGAGCTCTTAGTTCTCACTGCACTGGATGAAATAGCATGGTTATTAAACTTGCGAGGATCAGACATTGATTATAATCCTGTTTTTTTCTCATATGTTATTATATCATTGAATAAAGTTCACTTTTTTGTGGATGCTCAAAAAATAAATGATGAAATTCGACAACATTTTCACAGTGAAAACTTGAATGTAGAAGTTCATCCATATGAAAATGTGAAACAAGTTTTATCTAAATTGGTAAATTGAAACATAAAAATTGTTTTATTTATTGGTGTGACCTATTTTTTAGAAAATTTGATTTGTGAATATTTTATGTAGGTAGAAGAAACATCAAACCATACATGGATTAGCGATGATTCTAGTTTTGCTTTAAATAATTTAATACCAGTAAAGAAAAGGCTTTCTGAAATAACTCCCGTGTCACTTTTAAAAGCAATAAAAAATCCTGTAGAAGTTGAAGGAATGATTAATGCTCATGTTAGAGATGGTGTTGCATTATGTTGTTATTTTGCATGGTTGGAAAAGGAAGTACCTAAAGGCAATATTACTGAAATATCAGGAGCTGATAAATTAGAGGAGTTTAGAAAGTGGGTTTGTTTAATTTAAAAATAAAATAATGTAAATATTTCTATGAATTTAAAACAATTTTTTGTTTGTATTTATCAGGATGCAAAAGGATTTTGTTGGTTTAAGTTTCTCTACAATTAGTTCATCAGGACCTAATGCAGCCATAATTCATTATCATCCTTCGAATGATACAAATCGTGCAATCAGTACTTCAGAGTTATATCTTTGTGATTCTGGGGCTCAATACAAGTAAGCTGATTTTATTTTTAATTAACTAATAAATTAAATTAAATTATAACCATTATATTTAATGTTTTTAATTTATTAGGGATGGCACAACAGATGTAACACGAACTTTACATTTTGGTGAGCCCTCTGAATATGAAAAGAAACAATTTACAAGAGTCTTAAAGGGACAAATTGCAGTACGCACAGCTGTGTTTCCAAACAAAATTAAGGTTTACAAGCATAATTTCTATATATCATCATATTTACTCATTAAAATTTATCTTATCATAAGAAAGTGAAAATAATCTTATGATATAATTTTATTTTAGGGTAATACTTTGGACACGTTAGCTCGTAAATCTTTGTGGGATGATGGTTATGATTATGCGCATGGAACTGGTCATGGAATCGGGATGTATTTGAATGTACATGAAGGACCAATGGGCATTTCATGGCGCCAGTTACCAAATGATCCTGGTTTACAAGAAAACATGTTTTTAAGCAATGGTCAATATTATTTTATTCATTTTTCTTTTGAATGATCTCATACTGTGGGAATGTTAATAAGTTTTTATTTTATATTTCAGAGCCAGGATACTATGAAGATGGTAAATTTGGTATAAGAATTGAAGATATTGTTAGAATTGTAAAAGCGAATGTTTCTGGAGATTTTGGAGGAAAAGGAGCTCTAGCATTTGAAACAATTACATTAGCACCAATTCAAACAAAAATGATTGATGTACATATGCTTACAGAAAAAGAGGTAATTTGATGATTTCTCTTATATGAAAAAATTAAACCAGATATTTTTATCGCCCATTAATTTTAGATAAATGTGGTGAATTCATACCATAAGCGTTGTCTGGACACTCTCGGACCGCTAATGTTGCAATCAGACCAAAAAGAAGCATATGAATGGTTGGTTAAAGAAACAAAACCAATTAGTAAAACCAATTGTGCCTTGTAATAAAAGCATTTTGTATATGGATTTATTGTGTTCATGTAACTCATAGATAAAAGAAGAGTATAGTATGATGTAACTATAGTTTTAATTTTGTGGTTTGTTTATATTCAAATACATATTGTTATTAAAATAATAAGTTATTTTTATTATAATGTTCAATAGGTAATGAGTAAAGTGGCCAAGCGGCCAATCCTTGTGCGGATCATTATTCTTAGCCACTGTCTTTTTTAGATATATTTTGAGAACCTGTGATATGACACAATTATATATAAAAGTTTTATAAATCCTATTTTATATGAACTGTTGAAATGATAGTATAATAATTATCATATATATTTGTATTTTAATTTATATTAAGAATATGAATTAAGTAATTCAGAGTAACATTTTTTTTTCAACTTTAGAGGATAAACATTGATTGTGTATGAGTATTCAACTCATCAACCTTCATTTCATAGATAAAAGAAGAGTATTAGAATAATGTTACTTATTAAAGGGTGCACCAATTTACTAAAAAAAAGCTCATGCAAAAATTATTTTTTAAACTTTGTTGGTTTGCATGGTTGTGATTACATTTGCAAAGATGGAGAAGCACAGAAGAACCACGTGATAATAATTTTCAAAAATTTCCATATAACCTTAAAAATACATGTCACAAAGCTAAGTTTATTAAAAAATGATAATAGAATATTTGAATAAAATTTAATAAAATGTCTGCGTCATTAGTGCATAAAAGTTTACAAGTTTTAAAAGGTGAAAACAATTTAAGTAAAGGTAAATATTACCCTTATTGTTACTTTTTGTTTATATGTATTCAGCAATGTACACTCATTTTGATTTTTTCAGAACCAAAATCGAAAAATATTAAGAAAAAAAGAAAGAAGAATAAACAGATAGGTTGGTTCTCTAATATTATTATCGAATTAGTTTGTATTCTTATCTATGCTAACAAATTTATGAAATTATAATCTGAATCTTCTAAATAAATTGATAGATTTTTAAGGGTTATCTTTCCCATTATATTATTCTAGTAATTATATACTTACAGCTGATAATACAAAAAAAATCACTCTTGCTGATATACAAAGCACAACAACAAATAGTAAAGATAAATTTGAAGACAATCTTAAAAAGCTACAACTGTTAAGTTCCAGGAAATTAGATAGTGAAACAGCCGAAAAGGTGTGTATATAATTTCATTTTCACTTATTATAAAGAAAAATATTTGTTTATATAAATTTATTATAAATACTATGTTAATAGGTTTTTGAAAGAGCTGTCAAAAATACCAAATTTGTTGAAGAAACACAACCTGAACCCGAAGGCACAGTTTTCACAGAAGAAGACTTCATTAATTTTGAGAAAGAATATTTTTGTTCATAAAATGACTCTATCTGATGTAACAGTTGGACGTATGATGGTTCTAGGATCTATGATATTTTTAATTTATTACTTTATATGGGTCATACTAATGCCTATAATGAAAGTACCTAATGGTAAGATATAGCGTAATTAATGCATTTTTAGTTTACTCACTTATAATTTCAAAATATGCGCATGAATTATATTAATATTTAGATGAGGCATTTACAAGTACTTTAATTTTTTCAGATAGCTGGTTATTGACTCTTTTTCCACCAACTATTTACACTTTACTGTTACCAGCAATATTTGGATTATTTTTTATTGGGTCTATTGTAATATTTACAGTTTATAATATAATATTTTCGAGATAATACTATTTTTATTATTTTGTGTGATAATGCTTCCTGAATTTGGCTATTAGATTGTTAAAAGTATCATGAATTGGATTGTTTTTCGTTCATAATTTTATTTCATCTCTAATACAAAAGAGATAAGTAATACTTTCAAGAAAAACTAAAATAACTAAGTAATACTACTTTATATTGTTTATTAACAAGCATTTTAAAGTTTACATTCAATACAGATAATTCACTGTTTGGTGAAATGATTTCTAATCAAATATGATAATATAATTTCAGACAATTACATTTGTCTAGAGATTCAAAATATAGTAACAAGTTATGTTTAGATACATAAATGCATAACAGTGAACTAAGAATACTTAATCTTACGATCTAAAATTTATTATTTTTTTTATACAATCATATTTATAATTGAAAAAACTTAACAATACATAACATAGAATATATATTAATTTACATTGATTTTTAATGCACTCATACTTACATAAACAATGTATATACACATGTAGGTGACTACACCGGGATGAGGCAGAATGCTTATTTCATTTGAACAAAATCTGCAAGTTGCTTATAAAACCAAACATGTCTATGCATTTCGAAGTATGAGTGATTTCATATATATAGCATTGTACTGAGTATACATTCACTTACATTACCATTGGAATGAACTTACTAAACAACTACAAACCAAGTATTCAAAAGTCTCATTAAACACAATTTACAAATTATATATAAAGTATAAAAAAGGAACTTAAATGAAGTATATATTAATATCAGAGTCATTATATGTGTTTACTTACAGATGAATAATTGTATATTCAATTAGGTAAATCTTAAATTAACAACAAAATATTACAAAGAGACGTTTTTTATCATATTTTTATATGATATCCATTTTGTTTTAATAGATTTTATTAAATGTGAAATTAAAACTGGTCAGACAGCAATTCACAAACCTCCATTGATACAGATTCCTTGCTTGAGCGTACAGTTAATCTGAACATCTACAAAAAAAAAGAAGGTAATTAGTTTTTTTTCTTATTTATATGTCAATTTAAAATCAACATATTACTAACCTGAGCTTGTTTATTTGGCTCAAGACGGAGTAAGCATCCCACTTGCTGAGTTCTTGTATGAATGATGCCAGCACATACAAAATTATCAGGATTTGGATCGATACCATCCAATAATTGCATTCCAAATCCAAGAAGCTTAGTTCTAGCAGCCTGCAAGTCCATTGGAGGAGTTGCTTTAAAAATTCTTTGTGATCTTTGCTGCTCCCTGAATTAGGAGAACAATGTGAGTGCATTTACTACTTTATAACATAGTAATAATGTATACCTACCCGCCTAAATTTTTCCAACGAGCAAAGAATGATTCACCATTCATTTCAGTTGGCTCAAAGAATTTATTTACAGTTAATGGCAGTCTAAGTGTAAATCTTTGTTGTACTCCGCTATACATAAAAGTAACCATTAAATTGGGTGAATCTGAAATAAAGAATTTGAACATGTATCATATTAAATCAAATTATTTTAGTCAAGTGAGCTATATGCAACATTTTTTTCCTACCTGCATAATCCTCGATGCATTCAGCTGTTAGCATTTGTTGAATTTGAGCACCAGCTTCCAAAGTTGGTTCAACTGGTTTTAATTGAACAGCTAATGATTGTCCAGCAGTCCATTGAACTCTGATAAGTTGAATAACAAATGTTGAATATATATATATATATATATATATATATATATATATATATATGATAATTCACTATAATTACAATAAATTTGATATACTTACACAGGAGTAAATTGTTGTAAAGCTACTTGTGTTTTGTTTCCATAAAATAAAGCCAATCTACCAAGATTTTGACGAAATTCACTTTTGACCCCAATTTGTATCAGATCATTTTCAAATAATACTCCATTATTTTTGCATATGAACCTGAAACAGAATAAATCAATAAAAATAAATCTATTACCATGTATCAATAAATGACACAAACTTTTTAGAGTTGTTGATATTCATATTTCCATTGGTTTGTTTATTAGAATAAATGTCCCCAAGCATTTCTACTAAGCTTCCTGTAGCCCCTGATCCACTTTGTGGTGCTGAAGTTGGAGGCGTGGATAGTCCTAGCAAATCGGCAGAAGCATTGCTATTCACACTACATAAAGAAATTAAATTTAATAGAGCATGAGATAAAGAAATATTGAGAGATATTGAGATAAAGAAATATTTTACTTACGAGACATGATTATCACCACCCTGATTCGGTACAGGGCTTTTAGACTCTCTAATCTCATTTTCTGGAACCCGTCCTGGCTTCTTTTTCTTTAAAACAGCCAAAATAGAAGATTCTCGTTCAGGAAAAGCTGGCATTTCCTCAAGAACTGTTGCCTGTTTAAGACAAATTCAGATATAATTATGCAAAATATATTAGTACCTTTTGATAAATTTCAATATTTACTTACCAATACATCAGTTGTGGCGATAATGCTAAGTTGAAGATATTCACTAGCTCGTTGTTGCAATTCAGCATCAGCCGAACGCAAGTTGCTATGTGTTTTGAAAACATCTTGAATTGGGGTTCTAATTTCAGGAAATAAATTTACAAACTTAATATATGTAGATAGAAGTAATGCTCTTGTCATTGGAGAACAAAGGTGGTACTGAAAGAAATATTAAAAAATAAAATTCTAGTCTTTTATAAACATCATAATACTTTTGAAGGATACCTTGGAATGTAGGAGTTGAAATTGAACTAAAGGTGAAGATCTTTGATCACCAGCTATCAAGTTTCCAAATTCTCCTAAAATATAACCACCCACTTTAACCATATTTTCATGACAGGCTGGTGCTTGTAAAGCTTCGAAAACAGTTTTGGCAGCATAACCTTGGACTTCATCACGATTTATAACAATTTGAATTACTCTGTACCATACTTCTTCAGAAACATAATCTCCAGCAATACGAATGAGATTCAGAATTACATCAACATACCTAAAATTTAAACAATTAATACAAATTTAATTTTAATCTCAATAGTAAATGTAATTCATACAAACCAAGTATAATCCGTGGCATATTTTTCAGCTAAGATTGCAACTTTCAGTACCATTTCTTCCCTTATAGAATAATCAGCAGTTTCTAAGTAGTTTAACATTTCTTGCACAATCTCTTCAGCATTTGTCTTATCGCACATGGCATACAAAAGGTCAACTGCTTGTTGCCGAACAGATACATCTTTTTCCATCTAAAAACCATTACAAATAAAAAAAAGGTTTTGGATTGTACTACACTACACTTATTCCAGCAAGTACCTTCATTGAAAGAATAACGACTTCTTGATGCTTTTTGACTGCTTCATGTGAAAACTCTGATGTTGCCAGCAAACACATCGACTCTAAAGCCAAGTATCTCAGATTTGTTTCACGATTTGATAAGAATTGACCAAGTTGATTGCAAGCACGAACCAACAAATTAGCCTCACTAAAATAACGAATATAATAAAAACCAAGAATGCTATGATATTATTTAATTTAGTAAATAGTACCTATCGTTATGAATAATCAAAGATATAGCTTCAAAGAGCACAGCATTTTTGGCATTTGAATGCTGAACTTTCTTCGACTTTGGAGGCTCTTGGGCTTTATTAAGAATAGTCTCAAGGCATTCAGAGAGTCGACCACGGACAGCTTGGTCTTCTGCTGGAGGTGTATAATTTTGAAGCAATCTCAACAACTTTACTGAAAGCCATGGTGCTGGCACAAAGTAATATGTATAATCTTGAAGATCAGTATAACTTGAAGTAACGATCTACAATTGTAATAAATCAAAAATAGTCTCACTCTCATTATTTTATGCAATTATTTCAATCAATTACTCTGGATAGTCGTGAGACAGCCAAACTAACACATCCTTTATATTCATCAGGATTTTTCTTTACTAGAGCATCAATCAAACTAGTTGCAGCGGTTACTACTCCCATATGTGGATCATTAAGCAAATGTATTATCCTAGAAGTCCATTCACCTCCTGGAATGATCTCAGGGCATGTGCGGAACAAACGCAACAAACACAAGGCTGCAGATTGCTTTACAACATCCATGGTGTCCCTATAATAAATTTTTAATGAAGCAGTTTGCTAAAATCATATGATTATGATTGATATTTACCCTGAGACGAGCAATTTTGGAATCTCAGTGCTAAAAGACATAGCCATGTCTCTGCTTCCAATATTAGCTATGCACTGCAAAGCCAAATTTACATGGATTGGATTACGAGATGCAAGATCATTTTTGATGCTTTGAATTATCAACTGGATGAGATCACTATTTGTATTTACAAGCACTGATATGAACAAATAACCCTGAGGTACAAACATAGAAATAAGAATTATTTACCTTTATATGATTAATATTATATTTGTTTCACATATTATATTTTTTTAAATTACTTACGATTTGCTTTTCACTATATTTATTAGATGACAATAGATTGACTGCCTCCATATGCCCAAAATCAATATCATGTCCCAATAAAAATATGAACAAGAGCTTGCAAACATATTTCTTTTTCTGATAGCCATCAAGAGTTTTATCTCCTTTGAACTTGCTTCGGATATTTGCAAGTTCCTTATTAATTCTCTTAACTTCTGCTTCTTTGCTTTTACCTTGAGGAAATAGTCACATTTGATAATGGATAAAGGATACAAATGGTATTTGCATGATTTAACTAATAAATAACAAACCAATTCAGTAGCAATTAGGGAATGCAATACCGATAGAAAATTTCAATACTGGTATTTCGGTAATTTTTCATTTTAAAACCGGAATACCGGTATTTTTATTAACTTAAACATACGTAAACAAAATTGAAAGTTACTAGTAAAAATATAAAAAATTGTATATACAACTATAACTATATTCAACTAAACAATAAAATAAAACAATAAGTTTATTTTTTTAAATAATAATTTAACAAAAAAATATGCAATTTAATTAATTCATTATCACTATCGAGTATATTGAGTACTTTTCATTTTACATTATTATAAAAAACTGTGTTGTCTGTATCCGACGTGTTAATTTAGCATAATCTCCAATATTTTAAAAAAATAATTTTTCTACACTAATTTAAGATCGGATTCTTTGTAGATATAAATAATAAATTACTATAATTGTTGAGTATTGTTATTTAAACCAATGTGATGCTTCTATAGTATTTTCAAACTTCGAAACGTTTTTGAAATATAATATTTTATAATTGTAATAAAAAGAAAAAATATTCAGTAATTATCATAATTATTATGTATAAAGTTAGAAAAAAATAAAGATTACGCAGGGGTAATCTGTATGATATAAAAAATTTTGGCACAAATATCACTTAAAAAACTGTTACAATTTTACATAATATGAAACAAACACCATTATCTATCAGTCCAATTCTATTTATTGTAACACGATATGAGGCCCTTCGGAAAGCAATAAATATTCAGTTTAATGACGAGTTGAGATAATATTTGACATTTGTTTATATAATATAAACATAATAATTAACACAAAATTAATAATATAAATTATATTATAGAATCACTTGAAAACATAGCTGTTTGATTATGGAATTTGAAGATAAATTTGTTCCGAGAAATTTAAACTTTAGGGTATTATGTATCAAATAGTGCTTATATAAAAATACCGAAAAATACCAAAATCATTTTTGGAATGATTACCGGTAAAAATACCGCCGAAAAATTGTTTGTGCATGTCTGAACTAACAAAAAGATTATTAATAAATGAACTATGAGACTTAGATAAATATTAAGAGTCATGATATTTATGTGAGCGAACAGCAAATAAAAAAAACTCTAGTTTTCTATTTGGATTCGTATTATTATTATTTGCTCAAGTAAAATTCCTTGCCGAAAATCACAATTGAAGCCTTAAAGAAAACAATTTATGATGACGCCAAAGTAGGACACCAAATTGGGCTTCTTTAAAGTATTCATCCGATAGTCATAAAACTAAGTATCAATTATTAATGGTTTCGACTTACAGTTTCTTATGTCTGATATAAAAACCGCCAAGCCCCGCATTCCATCCCCTCGTGCCGCCGGCATACTGCCGAATTTCTCCAAGGACTGCAACAATTATTAGGGATTAGTAGACAAGGATAATATCATAAATATAGATTAACAACAACTATGCATTCTATAACTACTTGGAACAAAATGAACAAATATACAAGTGCAATGAATGAATTATTATTATTAGGTTTTGATAACGAAAATATTCTAAATAACTAAATACATAAGTAATTCAGCATGCACTACGTATATTGACAAGTAGATTTCGTTACAAAGGGGCGTATATTGATAACTAACTTTCATCCGGAGAATTCGATAACAGGATCAACACTTTATTCGCAGTAATATGTACACTTTTCCTCTTAAAACAAAATTAATAAACCACCATATCTGTTCTTATAAGAATCCAGTGCTAAATTCTGGGTAGATCGCGATTGATGAAAACTTGACAAAAGCTAAAGATTTGGAACAACCGGTGTTATAAATATTAATTCTGAATCAAAATTTCGATAGCCATATTTCACATACCTCTGTTGTTACAAAAATAAAAGTTATTATATAAAAAGCACTGCGGGACTTTATGACTTGTTAATAAATTTCGTTGGCAATTAATAGTTCACATCACAGTTTGACAACTGGCACTGCTGAAAGAAAAGGATGCTTACAGTGACCTGTAAATCTAAATAGGAATTATATTGGATTTTATCACGCCGCGCCTTCTGTTTTACAATCTAATCTTCTCGGAGATTCAGAGAATGCTCTTAGCTTCAATAGAGGACGCACGTAATAAACATATTTTTATGAAATATTTACACACAAACCTACATGTAAGCAACAATTAAAATGGTATCACAATATTTTTTTAATTAGTAATACACAGTATTTTTGTTTACAAATCATGCGGTTGCAATAATAAACTAACTGCAAGTGTTGTTTTGTCTTCAGGCAATTTTCATGATTTGCGTAAGTCGGCTTAATCAATAAGAGTTGAGATTTGGCCAGTTAAAGATAGAGTTTTATTTATGCTTATAATATTCAGAAATATATTTATATTATAATTAAACCAGTATCTAAAGGCCTATGATGTTTAGTTTAAAAGATATCCATTTAGACCAGAGGTTCCCAAACTTTTTTGTATCGTGGACCCTTTGTGCGTTGCCCTAGACCCCCAATATTTTAATCAGTATCTAAAGGCCTATCATGTTTAGTTTAAAGGATATTCATTTAGACCAGAAGCTCCCAAACTTTTTTGCGTCATGGACCCCTTGTGCGTTGCCCTAGACCACCAATACTTTAATCAGTATCTAAAAGGTCTATGATGTTTAGTTTAAAGGATATCCATTCAGACCAGAGGTTCCCAAACTTGTTTGTATCATGGACCCCTTGTGCGTTGCCCTAGACCCCCAATATTTCAATCAGTATCTTAAGGTCTATGATGTTAAGTTTAAAGAATATCCATTTAGACCAGAGGTTCCCAACCTTTTTGTATATTGTGGACCCCTTGTGCTTTGCCCTAGACCCCCAATATTTTTAAGACCCTAAATTAAAAATACATGCAGTGGTGTCGGAACCATGTGGGCTGGTGCGAAAAAAAAACGAACCCACTAGCTGCCTATCAAAAAAAAACGAGCCCACCCATCAAAAATTAGCTTCCGACGCCACTGAATACATGTGAGTTTATACATTTATTAATTGAATCTAAAACTAAAAGAAAAGAGTAACAAATAAGTAAAAGTTTTGTAAGGTTTAATCTTACAACTACAGGCTAATGATGTTCAGTCTATATATTTTTTTTGTTAGTAGATCAAAAATGCTGCAAATTACAAACTTTTATAAAAATGTACAATTTTATAAAAATGTGCAATTTCCTTCGTTTTTTGTTTATTTATTAATATTGTTAATAAGTGTTTATTAAAGATAGTATAATATAACTAAATTTATATTATACCAAGAGTTCCAATATTGTGGAATCAGTGGCGTCGGAACCGTGTGGGCTGGTTGGGTGAGATTGTATAAAACGTTTAAAAACAAAACAAAAAAGAGTCCACCCATCAAAAATTTGCTTCCGACGCCACTGCGTGGAACCCATTTTCATTACATGGACTCCACATTTTTTTCCATTGAACGAGTATCTCTTAAAAGTTGTCATGGATCCTAGGGGTCGATATGGACCACTTTAGGAACCACTAGTTAACTTCCCCTAGAGTAAGTTATAGTATGTAATCGCAAAAATAAAATTTTTATATATCTTTAATTTATTTTCATTACATGAACTCCACATTTTTTCCATTGAACGAGAATCTCTTAAAAGTTGTCATGGATCCTAGGGGTCCATATGGACCACTTTAGGAACCACTAGTTAACTTCTTGTAGGGTAAGTTATAGTAATCGCAAAAAGAAAATTTTTATATATTTTTACGTTTCAATTGTTTCTGAATATATTGAATCAGAAAGAAAGATGTATGTGTGTGTGTCTGTGTGTATGTGTGTGTGTGCGGATACAAATTTTTGTCGTCGAATTCGGGAACACCGATCAACCGATTTGAATAATTCAAAAAACATTCGATTTTTATTGTAACATAATAATAATACCTAATTATACCGTTAAATTAATATTTTACAATTTAAAGATGCACATATATGGAAAAACAAACATTAATTTCCTTACCTTTACCACATTCATTATCAAATAAATAAGTTTTTTGGTGTGATATTTGATTTTCCTTGTTTCAAGAAAATGATATATTATGTGAAAGCAATAAATCATATTTTACTACAAAAATAGGAATTTCAATTACATTTAAAAATGGCATAGTTAATAAAGTTAATTTAGGCAAATAGAATACCAATTAAATTTTCTAAGGATTCCGGAATCACTATATGTGAATATCAATTAGAATAATTTTCAGACTTTTCTACGATATCTGTGAATACAAATACGGTTTCTTTTTGTTTTCTGAAATTAATTAAAATAAGTAAAATTATAATCATACATGCAGTATACTCTTACTTTACACAATTGATTTTGTTCAGAATACTTGGAATACTACTATGATTATTGTCCTACATTTTATTTCTTTAGTATTTCTCAAAATATAGAATACAGGCACTGTTATAAATTTTTGTCTGATTTAAAAAGTTTCGTCTTCACTTTACATAAGCGTAATTATTTGCATGTCTAATTACTATTTTCTCCAAAATGTGTGACTGACATTGACTTTAATATGAATAACATTGATTTTATGAAAATTGCGATTTTTGTAAGACAAATTCTGGAAATATAGTTACCGGAGTAAAATTCAAACTATCCTTTTGTTCTATTCCTATAATTTTCTCCTAAATATTCACAGCCAAAATATTTTGGGCTACGGGGTGATTCAAGGGAAAATGAGAATCATTTTTATTTTAATAAATTATTAACTTGGCAAAAGAGAAGTTTAGATAATTTTATGTTTTCTCGACGTTTCGAGTCATTCTGAATCGTTTGGGACCAAAATTAAAAGAAGTATGTATGTATGAGTATTTTATCTACATAGGTAAATTTCAATGTTTATTGATTAAGTCGACTATTTACACGTATCGGGAAGTTCATGCAACTTGTCTTAAGGTAAATTGCCACTTATATATATCTTTAACCCTTTCCACTCGGATGGCGCCGCTCTGGCGCCAAAATACATATTAATTCTGTAATTCGCGAGTGGAAAGGGTTGATATATTATTTGAATTACAGGGATTTGAGTAATTTTAATTATACCAATCTCACATAAATTTCGCCTCATTTAAGATTCAGTTAAATGCTCCAAATTATTAATCTATTTCGTTGAGGGGTTCATAAATCACAAACGCTACTTATTATAAAGTGTGATGCATTTATTGCAGAGGTTCGAAAAATTTATTTTTATTATTGTGAATTTAATCGCTCGTATTTATTGCAATAAGTTAATTCTTTCATTCGAACATAAATAAAACAGTATTACCAAAAATTTGCATGCAAACATAACAATGTCTACGCATACATATACTTGACCTGTCGATGCTGAACTTTAGCTGTAATATAACAATCTTTGTTCACAGACCTCTGGACCTCCATTGAGGTAAACAGAATTAATTAAATCATAAAGAATTAATTACGATAATAATTAAATAGCGTCGTCGATTATATTAGAATTTCCGACGATCCACGTGCGTGACGTCAAAAACAACAGTAATTTTACATCAGAAATAATTTAGTATTAAAATTTCCATCTTTTGTAATAAATTATTATTGGTACGTCATCAGAATTTATAGCAAAGGAGGAAAGAACAAGCGAATGAAAGTCTATGATATACTAGAAAAAAGTTAAATTTTAACAAAACATGTATAATATAAATTAAATAATTTATTAGACTATTGTCAAATTACTTAATTGCCTTACATTTATTAAAAAAGTGAAAAATTTAAGTTTAACTCAAAATTTGAACATTAAATTCAAATAACCCGCTTTAAATCTACGTCCAATAATATTTGAGCAACGTGAGCATCGACCAATGAGATCCTTTCATTGTGGTCTGACATATGGGGCTTGGGAGCACTCTAGATATACGTCAATTCAACATTAAAATAAATGATAGTTTTCACATAAACTGCCAACAAATAAAACAATAAATTAAATTTTATTGAAATTTACATACTACAATCAAATACAACAAAAATATATAAGCGTGTGAAATTAATTTTAATTTTATCGTCAGACGAATTTGCTATCGGCCTCCTGAGCCCCTTCCAATTAAATGTCAATCCATATAAGAAGTTGCTATGTTTGTAGTGGCATCATTTTGCCAGTGCCAGTAGAACACAAAACTAGTGTCCGTGTATCAGTTGGTTTCTCGATAAATAAAAGTGTGTTATGATTTAGTGCTGGACTTAAACAAATTAAATAATAAATTAGTGCGAAATTATATTTTGAGAAAACCCAGGAAACATGAACGGATACAGTGATAATTTATCCACTAGTATGGAAAATAGCAGGTAAATAATTTATTTTATGAAAAATATATCATCAACATATCATACATTTTTGCATGTTAATTATATATCATATTTTGATTTTTCATTCGATAAATGTTTTTAAATGGAAACAATATTTCTTTACGAAAGTTTATAACACAAATTGGTTTTGTGAAAGCGGTTTTTTGTGCATACATTACTTTTGAAATATCTTGACACAATTCTTATGCTGGAATTACTATATCCTATTATTCTTATTCATAAAATTTAATTAAACACGATGGCTCTTTGTAATGTCAAAGATGGCAGCTTTACTATGTTAGGTTATATGACGTGATTTACTATTTTAAGACCCACACCCAAATGTCAGTGTACATTTTAAAAGGAAATAGATTTACATTTTATCTTATTTATAAAACTACATATTTCTTCCTTTCTTATTTGTAAAACCACAAATATTTTCGAAGGATAATTTAGAGATTGATTGTGAAAGGATATAAGGTGAAGTAACAAAAAGCGCATGATGCAATGAACATGTGCACATGATGACATCGATAATTGTATATAACTTACCAGTTTTACTATATGATATAAGCGAATACATACTTTCATTACAGTACATTTCATATGGCACCTAATTGTTTATATGCTTATTAAATCATAGACATATCTATGTCCAATTGAATATTATTTTAATTTTCATGCTTTTCATTTCTTACCCAATATGACAATTAAAATCAGATACATCCAGCCAAGAGCATTTAGCTAATTCAATTTCTATATTTCATAAAACTTCTTTAGTCAACGTGATTACTAAGAAATTAATGCAATTTACTACTAACTATGTTTACAGAACACATAATCTCATGTTTGCAAATATACATCAAACCGCGAATTGCTCAAGCTTCGCATAGTTAATTTTATCCATCTGTTGAAATAATGAATATGATGAAATACTTTTGCTGCTACAAGAATAGAAAGCAGTTTTTCTCTCTGACAAGTGATTGTTTAATGTTTATTATATTGGGATTTTATCACATACTTTAGTTTGTGGCAATACGATTTATACATTCTTTGTTTTTATACAATCCTTAAGGGGGTATTCTAGTGTAGGGCGATGAATTTCAGGTCATTTTTAAAGTGTCGTTAAAGAAAGCAATGAATGTTTTTACTATCCATTTTTTACCACTTGTTTATCAATATTATTAAAATACAAAACAAGAATTAAAAAATAAAAAAGTTGAAAATTGTAAAAACTGGCAGCTGATGAAGTGGGTGGTGTCAAAAAATTGGCACTTCAGTCTTGACATGATTTCAGCCCTTCTAGCCATCGGAAATGCAAAAACTAAAAAGATTATAAAAGTAAAAAGTTTTTTTTACAAATTGGCGGCTGTTTGAAAAAAAAAGTGTTTTTTTACTGTTTTTTTGAGTTTCTCGAATTTTTTAAAAATAGTAAATATTGGAATTTGGGGATAATCCTAGTTCGGGCTATAGATAGGTCTATGGACAAGACTCTCTGAACATTTCAAGTGAATCGGTCGATTAAAACTCGAGAAATCGTGTCAACAGTACTGAAAAAGTCTGTTCTGAGAAAAACGCATTTAAAGTTTTGCATGAAGCCAAACCACTATGGAGATCGAGTCAGTAAAATGCCTATATCTCCGAAAATAATTCAAATTTTCAAAAACCTTCTCGTACCCATATTCTTAGATAGTTAAACTTTGAAAATATGAAATAAAAAAAAATCGATTTTTTTTGAATTTCTACACTCGAATACCCCCTTAATGTTATTGTTCCACTACTTCTGTGGAAGCACTAGAAGTATGTTTTGAAACAACTTAACATAACATAAAAGTTTATATATTGCGCAATTTATAACAGGCATATTTTACATATTTCTATGGTATCATATAACTTGATATAATTTAGGTGAAATAGTGAAAGCTGTCAATATATCATTGCAACTTCAAAAACTGGTTTAGTTAAGGTTGAATCGTTCGTTATTGGATTAGTTGAATACATTCAACAATTTATTAACATTGGATATACTTTGCTAACGGTTATTTTCAACGCAATAGTTCATCTGCGAAAAGTTTATCTTGGTGTAAATCTTTACAAGTTTTTATTGATGTCCATGCTTGCATTTTTTGGGATAGTTATATCAAGTTGATCATATCGTTTTGCCAAACATGTATCATTCTATCTATCATTGGAATCGAGCAATTTTCATCTTGCTTATCTTATGTGATATCAAATTCTGATCGCCGTTTCGCTTTGTCCTCAGAAATTGTCTGCGGCGCATAGCTCGTCACGATGATCAGGAGTTTTCAAACCAGAGCATCTTGAACGCTATGGAGAAATTTGTAAAAACCGTCAACCGCATGGACGAGACCATTCTGATCCCATGTCGTCTGATGGATTTGAAAGCTGCTCCTGCAGCAGATGAAAAGCCAAACGGCAAATCTAAGAAAGGTTCAGCCGATATGTTGACATCCACTGACCTGTACGATTTGTACAACATGTTAAATAATGTCAAAGTTGATCTTCTCTGGGGGGTGGCAAAGCTCCCGCGGAAGAAAGCTCGGCGCGGAAGAAACACTACAAGTACCTGCCGCGAATAATAATTCGGCTCCAGCAACATCTCCCGATAATAATACCTTAAAAGTTACTAATAGTAAGCCGGGGCTCGCACGCAGGCCCTCGACCGCCAGCATGGCGTCCACAAACTCTGCTGTTTCCCTTAGCGATTGCGATTCGGATGCCGGCAATGAAAACGACTCTGGTATTGAAAGCGAGGAAGGTGCCGAAAAGAAAGATAAAATCCCGTTTGGGTGTCTGAGAATTTCCGAAGACATTTATTCGGCCTATATAGGACGCTAGAACAAATGACCGAAGCCGCCAATTACGTTACGGATCGCTACCAAACGGACGTTGGAAGTGTTTGATCAAAGGCCTCAACTTGTTTCTAGTTTTTAACTTAATATTATTTTGTTATGAATAGCGTTTTATTTATTATTAGATATTTGTGAATTACGTTCGGTTGACACCATTCAAAGATTAAAAGT